GGTGCCCAAACTGCATCTGAGGCCGTATCTCTGCGAAGCTTTGACATATTGGCGTCAAACTTTATGTACTATAAGGCAGAATAAAAGCATTGCACCATAATTTGGTTTTCTTTTTACATCTTCATTTTATGCATACACTTAACATCTCCTAGGAAAAAGAGTTTTACTAGGACAGCATATTCATGATGCGTTGACAACTGTATGTTTTACACAATGAGTCAAAACAAATATTAAAAGAGCCGGTGTTTGTTTATTCCATGCTTTGTTTAAATCATCCTGCAGTACACCTGGCTGTGAACAGTTTTAGCGTTTGGTGATGAAGCTGTTCCCGTGGGTATCGACGGCCAGCTATGATCCCGGAGTGGTGCGGAGGCGGAAGGGGACACTCTGACAGCTGACTCAGAGCGTCAGGTGAGGCGAGAGGTAATGTGATCAGCCATGTAAAAGGGCCCTTCACTCATGTTTTATTTATCAATGGAGATGCCATTACCCAAATGCACCGCTCATGAAGGAGATGCTGGTGAAGGCATTTCTATCTGTGTCAAAGTCAGCACAGGATGCTCAGCGGAGAGATGCAGCACACCGGCAGAGCTGAAATGCTGAGAGGTGCATGAGTACAAACTAGCGCTTGCCTAATATGAGCTTTTGTTTAATACGTGATGATGGTACTTGGAGAAACTGAACAATTAATGATATGAATATTTAGTTAAGATATTTATTAGTTAACGTTAAGGTGATATTTAAAAAAAATAATTGTTTAAAGTAATTATTAAATATAATATAATATAATATAATATAATATAATATAATATAATATAATATAATATAATATAATATAATATAATATAATATAGTATAATATAATATAATATAATATAATATAATATAATATAATATAATATAATATAATATAGGTGACACATTGGCGCAGAAAGTAGTGGTGTCGCCTCACAGCAAGAAGGTCGCTGGTTTCCTGTGGAGTTTGCATGTTCTTCCTGCGTTCGCATGGGTTTTCTCCGGTTGCTCAGGTTTCCCCCTCAGTCCAAAGACATGTGGTACAGGTTAATTAGGTAGGCTAAATTGTCCGTAGTGTATGTGTGTGAATGAGTGTGTATGGATGATTTCCAGTGATGGGTTGCAGCTGGAAAAGCATCCGCTGCGTGAAACATATGCTGTATAAGTTGGCGGTTCATTCCGCTGTGGCAACCCCCAATTAATAAAGAGACTAAGCTGTAAAGAAAATTAATGAATAATATAATATAATATAATATAATATAATATAATATAATATAATATAATATAATATAATATAATATAATATAATATAATATAATATAATATAATACTCTATTGCAAACTGCTTATGTAAATACTTTTATATTGTTTTACACAACATTAACTGACTATCAAGAAAATAACATAAAAAATAAGATTATTGAAATATAAGAAGGGTTAAGGCATTGTATTAAATATAAAATAATATTAAATAATTATTACTATCAGAATACAATTACAGCATGTGTTTTAATTCATTGTAACTTATTACACTAAGTTAATCATGTTCTGACTTTTGTTGAGTTTTGTAAGTCGTGCGAGCTGTTTTAGATCAGTTTAACATGATATAAGTTCAATGGATAATGTTAATTTGATTCAGCTTAAGAATTTGAGGCAACCAGCATTTACTTACAGTGTAGTTAGATTTTCATTATTTGTTTGTTCTGATTTTATTTTTAGTTCCAAGTCATTTTTTGTGTATATTTCTTTTTTTTTTTCAATTAGCTTTTATTGATTATATATTTTATTTAAATTTTAACTGAAAAGTACAAATATTAAAATAAGAGACCAGTTATATTATTTTTAGACAACACAATAATTTAACTACAGAATAGTTAAGAATAAAATATTTTAGCCTGATCTCACAAGGAAACGTAACTATTTTAGGTTTTGTCAGTTTAATGCAGAAATGCCCAAAGTAGAGCCTGCGGGCTAAAGTTGGCCCATGGTAACCATTGATTTGGCCTGCCATCCCATCTGAAAAAAGGGAGAACGATGGCAATGGTTTAGAGACTGTCATTTCTAATTTAATATGACCCTTTATTTGTTTGCTTTATTGTTAAGCTACAAAAAAGACAAAGTGAAAAAAAACGTTTCAATTTAAATGGTGCAAATTACTTCGATTTAGTTTAAAATGTACATACTGTCACCCAACAAACAAAGAACGTTGGTGAGCAAATTAAGGCAAATGCAGGTTCCACTTGACTAGTCTATTCAGCACTAAACTCCCATGTGTTATAAATGTGATTGTTTATGTTTTTATTGCAATTTTAATTACAAAACAGTTATAATACAATTCAAAATAATGTTTCTATTTATGTTTAAATATTACTAAATAAATTAGTAAACTACCCAATATAAAATAGTTTGGTCTTGGGCCCATGGCTATCAATGATATTTGGTTTTTGGTCCATCATATAAAAAAGTTTGGGCACCCCTGGTTTAGTGGCTAATTCGTACAAACTTTTATACGATTTTAAAAAGGACGCATGGCACCCAATCCCACCCCTAAACCTAACCACCATTGGGGGTTAAGCAAATCGTACAAAAATTGCACTTATATGAAGTGCATACAATGAATTCATACAAATTAGCCACTAAATAAAAAAGTTATGAATTGCCATGATGTTGTGTTGAATATTCGGTGGAATAACATTCTGTCAACTGTCATTTTCTCAAAAAAAAAATAATAATAATTTAAATGGCAATATTTTATGTAAAATATGAGAAGTAAAGTTATCTGGTCTTTATAAAATTAAACAAATATTAGCATTTTACTCAAACTACACTGAAAAAAAATATACAAATATGATTCATTGGATTTACTATTTTTTTATGTTAAGTGGTAAACAATTTATTTGGGCTGAATTTAAACAAACAAATTAAGTTAAACATTACTCAATTTAATTTGTTTGTTTAAATTCAACCCATATAAATTGCTTACAACAATTTTGCAGAAATCATATTTTTCAGGGTACACTATAAAAAAATTAAAAGTTGACTCAACTCAAAATTGTAAGGCAACTTGCTGCAGAGCTTTTTTTGAGTTGACTCAAGTTTCAACTTCTCAAATGATTTAAGTTGTAAATGATTTAACTCAAAAAAGCTCTGCAGCAAATGGCTTTACAATTTTAAATTGAGTCAACTTTTTTTTTTTTTTGCAGTTTAGTTTATTTTTATATAAACACATATATTAGTTTTATGGTTTCTGATAATGACCCTGCATTTTTATTCATTTAATTATTTAACCAGGAATGTCACACAATATTTCTTCTACCAGGTCAGAACAGGCAGCATAAAACAAAGTTACAAAAAATACATATCAAAACACATAAGACACACACAAAAAAGCATAAAGATTAATTAATTGTCAAAACATATGCACTGTTCTAAATTGACAGTCTTTAAAATATTTTTAAATATAGCGATGGATGGAACGGATGTTGGTACATTTGTTTAAGCCTTTGTTGTAGCATGTAGTTCTTTGAACAATCATGAAGCTAGCATATGTATTGCAGCACTTCTCACGTTACTGCTTCCTTATGATAAATTGCTGATGTTTAGTTCCGCATTGGTAAGTCACTTTGAATAAAAGCCCTGTATGAAAGAAAAAAAGTGTGTGAATGTGTATTAGTCTATCACTTGTCCACGATGGCATCGGCAGGTGTAATCATCCTGGTTTTCTGCCCATGATGAGCATCTAACACCAGAGTAAACACCATAAATCATCTAAACAGCCGGATGTGAATATGTGAATGTATTAGGATATTTCATTAATACTTCCCTCTTCTCCCCAATGTATGATTTTTAGTATTTAGGGCCTAAATGATTAGGGGAATCAAACTGAAAAGTGTGCGCACAGCTATGCAGATGTGCGAGATCAGCACCGAGTTTGTGCTGGATGGCTTTCTGTTCCACTGGGCAAACTCGCAGGTCACCAATCAATACAGTTATGATGACATCTGCCATTTCTACAAAGCCCCCTTGCAGACTCCCAGCATGCTGCAGCCTTTTTATATATTATCCAGAGGTCATGGTCTTGTGAACTCAACCCTGACACAGTGCACTCAAGATCGCATATTTCCCGCATTTCATTGAACAGGAGTAAATGTAACTGCTTGGTGGGCTTTCTGCTGTAGTACGCTATTAAAAGCTTTCAGAGACAAACCGTCGTGCTTTACAGAACCAGAATATAGGAAAAAATCCGCTGCATGGTTGCAGCTCCAGCTTTGCTGATGCACAGAGTTGCGATTGATTTACTGTACACGGAGTGAGCCAGCCCTCTCAAAACCCCCTCTGTTCGAAGTTACGGTAATGTCAGATCTCCCAACGTGTAAGTCATGATTTAAAACGTATGGTGAATGCAACACCAACCCTCAATCATCTTGATTGTCAAAACGCTTCGTGGTCTGTCCAATATAATGTTGCACACCGCTGGTAATGTATCTCTCTCACTCCCAGACAGTTGACCTCCTGGTTGCAATGGAAGCAACGATACACCTCAAACACCCCCAGATTGGGTTTCTCAAGAACCTGGTTTTGTGTTTCTACTTCTTTTTCGTCACCATCGGAATGAACATTTTCTCTTAAAACCCACCTGACGAAATCACCCACGTAGCCTCATTAAGTGGATTTGGGCCACTGTCAGTGGCTAAGATGGATGATGTCCGCACTACGAGCATAGCACACTTTAGTTTAAAAAAGGGTCACCCGTTTAATCCAATGGAGCTGAGGTAGGTTCAATAGCCCCCTTCCTTCTTATCCCCCCCATACCTTTTTTTAAGGAATGTCTTAACCAGCTGCTGCGGGGGAAGGTGGTGGTGGTGGAGGGGGGGGGTCATCATAGTGGGAGTGTAGGGGGGTGGCAATGAGGCACACACTGACCCTGGAGGTTGCGTTCCCCTTTAAAAGTCACGGCACACTCGGATACGCAAGGCTCATGCAGGAGCTGCTGCGGCACTGGGAGAACACTGCTGAGCTGTGCAGTTTGTACTGCCAGTGAGCGCGCAGAGAGGAGGAGGGGGAGCAAGAGATAGAAAAAGAGAGAGAGAGAGTGCAGGAGAATGAAGCAGGGAGAGAGAGCGAACAATGTCATTCCATTCAGCAGGCAATGCTGCAGTCAACTTTACAGCACCGGAGGAGAAGACACAGCCGCTTGTGCATCATCCCTGCAAGACCCAGAGAGGAGCGGAAGCTGAGTGAGTATGTGCAAGTTTGTCTTTCTCTGCAGAGATAGAGGACGCATGTTGAACTTTTCACCCGTCAGGAGGGGGTTTAGGTTTGCGGGATGTTTCATTACGGCTGCAGAATTTATTCTCTCACCTGCACTGAAGTCTTAAAGGACCCGTTTGCATTGACCTACATGATGAGTGATCTTCTGCAGTGAGGCTACTGACACTTTGGTAGTGATCTCCCTAACCAATGCCGGCCATTTGTATGATGTGTGTAACTTAGTACTTAGTGGGATACCTGCCAGGAAGAGCACTTAGCATAGGAAGAAAAGACGCACAGGCTTGGATTGGGATCAGGACCGGTATAGCACTGACGCCTGCAGACATAAATAAAAGATGTAGGCCAGACATATTCAGCTTCAGGGTGCTATACTTTGGTGCACTTTGTTGTATCTCAGTGTATTGAGGATGCCGTGTGTCTTGGATCCAGAATGTTCGGAAGGGAAAGAGTTAAAGAGCTTGCAGCAGATGGGAAAGTGGAAGTAACGTTTTAGGATGGCCTAGGGAGGACAGAGTGCTGTGTGAGTGTGTCAGCTATCAGCTGTCACCACCATACACTCTTAGGTCACTCGGACAGAAGATTTTGACAGGAAGATTTAGCCAGGTGCATAAGAGTCTCTGCTTCAAGTGTGTTTATGAATGTGTGCGTCTCGCACTCACTGTTGTATGTTGCAGCACACTTGCTAACTGTCCCATCCGAGAATGAGAGAGAGTGACTGAATGAAGCGGTGGGGGGGGGACTCATAACTCTTTCACTGCAGGTCTTTTTCAGCTTCAGCTCACTCTCTGCTCTTCTATAGGTAGTGCTTAGCTTCTTAAACATGGGTGATGCATCATATTTGTTGCGGCTATCTTCTGATGCTGTTGTAAGTCTTATTTGTTGTAGTTTGACTTTGTATATCTACAGTGTGCTGGTATTAAGAGTGATGATGATGTTTGAGATGTATTAGTATTATGTTGTGACACTTTACTAAATTGTATAGGTTGCAGTTTGAGCACAGAGCTCATTACCGGCACAGGGACCCGCCGGTAAGGAGTTCAACTCAGGTAACGTGTATAAACCATCCATCCCTGCTGAACATTGAAGAACAGCCGCGATTGCGTATATCGCAAGCTATAGGGCAGGATTAGATCTGTATACAGCAGGAATGCGAGGAGTGATATATCACTGTCAGATCCACTGCCTGACATCATTAGCAGAAACTGCAGTTTCTCTTGGCGCTCACCAAAGGGGGGGTGAGGGGGGGGGGGGGGGGTTGCTGCTGCTCAGCCAAAAAGCGTATTGCCGCACTCACCTGATGTTCCTAACACCCATCCTCCCATCTCCTTTTACTCTTCCTCCCCCATGCTCTCTAGAGATCATCTTCGAGGTACAGAATGGCATGAACACACAAACGTTAAACATATTCTTTATTGCTGTGAAAAGTTACAGACTGAGAGAAGCACCAAGAGGGAGAGCGGATACCCTGCAGTGTCCTGCAGCACAGTTCCTGCAGTACTGCCAAGATGAGGCAGCAGCTGCAGCAGCAGCAGCAGCAGCAAGAAAGACAGGCAGCTATACAGTCACGTGGATGACGAGGAAGAGAAACAGAAAAAGCAAGTTAACCGAGGGTTGCTATGAGGGTATATCTCTCTTGTCTAGAGTTTGGCAGTTCAGGAGTTAGTGTGGCTACACTCTCCTGACAGGAAGAGAATGAAAGACAGAGAGAAAGAGAGAAAAAAAAAGACAGAACAGCTAGATTAGCCTGCTTACTCCACAACATCCCCCCACGAACCTACTGCCCCCCCTCCCCCTAACCCAATGGTGCATTGTCCCGTACTAGTGCTCTAGTTCCGATGATGTAATCAATGCAGCAAGCTTTGATCTTGCTGGAGTAAGGATTCCATGCTTGCCCTCCAACCTCTTGAAAGCATACATGCACATGCTCTTTAGGAAATTAAATGGTGTTGAACTTCAAAGATGTCCGCGAATCTATTATTCACAATCAACCAACAAAATTAGACGTTTATAGTCGGGACATTTCAGGAATTTTGCTTCATATGAAACTCCAATGCAGCAGCGAGTAGGCCAGTGAGTGCGCTTTGTGAAATTTGGCGCCCTCTTAACAGCCACTGCAGCATCTGCGTCCATTAGCCATCAATCAGCTCTGACACACTACACATGGTCTTGTAAAACCATTTGCTACTGTTCATGTCAAACGTTCAAAGAAGGATGAAAGGAACCAAATGTGTCACTTCAAAAACTTTATAGTGAGGCGAACCCCAAAAAAGGGGTAAGCGTAAAGGATGAAGGTGAGCCACAGGACAGCGTGTGCTGATGGAAATGGAAACGCTGGCATTTGTGACGCTGCTCTTTTTATTGGTAAGGTCATCAGTCTTGGACTGCTGCAATCCAGTGAAGTGCAGTCCTTGTACTGTAACGTACAGTGGACCAGACTGCAGAGAGAGAGAGAGAGAGAGAGAGAGAGAGAGAGAGAGAGAGGGGCCACAGCATTACATTAACTGTGGTGCTGAGCTGTGCAGCTGCTCTGCAACTCTGCCTGGTGATGAAGTTTCTCTAGAGCACCGTCCTCTCTCTGTGTTACTGCTCTGGTGCCTTACTTTAATTAACGGCTTGTGTTTAAGAGGTACATAAATCAGTGCAGGCCAATATCAGAGAAATCATTTGTGTGGATTCATTTTCTACTGAGGAATCGGGTGAGTGTAAATCTTTTTTGTGATTTCTTTCTTTTTTCAGAATTTGATTAAGCAATGCTTAATGATTATTTTTCAGTTGATCAACCAAAAATTGCAGATTTAGCATTTATGGGATGTTTTATTTTTATAATTTTTTTTATTTTAGAGGTGCGTTATTATTTGAAAATTAATATCGCATAAAACATGCTTATATTTTAATAATTATAAAAATAATTATTGATTTTGAAAATACATTATAATTATTAGAATTAATACTATATACATTACATACACAGATATTATTTTGTACCTATTAACATCAACCTGATTAAAAAGTTGCTTGAATCCTAAAAGCAGAGCAGTAATACCTTCATTTTAAACTTTGGTGCAGTAAGAACTTCACCACCAGGGGGAGCAGTACAAGGTCCCATGCAGAGAACAAACTGAAGTTTTACTGTGACTTAAAAAAAAGATCTTCACTATTGCCCTTGATTTAAAAGTTACTTTATTGGTTTCGTATACGCTAATAGCTTTGATAATGCTTAATTGAATTAAAATCCAGGGAGTTTAAATTAAATTGTATTAAAATTATGCTATGCCCTTTCATAGTTATCAATTCTTTCCAAAGGAAAGTTCTCAACTACATCCTTTAACAAAATAACTCCCAAAGTAAATTTTAAACTACCAAACGATGTGATTTCCTACTCAAATGCTATACTTTGAGATTTAATCCCAATTACGCAAATCCCTTGAAATGCCTGACTAAAACAAAATGACTAATAATCATGTTACTAAATAGACTTCACTTGCATTCTAATTTTCCCTTAGCATGTCTTCACTCACATCCTGTCCACGTCACTCGTGTGTTATTGTATTGCGCAGTGAGTGTCAGATCATGCTACTGCCTGTAAAGATAGTATAGTGACCTCTGAAAGATGTCTGATTTGTCCTGTCACCTCTGATGCTCAGTGTTTTTCTTGACTCTGTGCTCCTCCTCCAGAAGCTGAAGCAGAGGGCGCTGTGCAGAGCAACCAGAACATGCCTTGACTTGTACCCACTTCTCAGAAAGAAGTTGAGGCTTGTGGTCAGCAACATTAACTGTGTTTGCCATCTCATCCAACTGACCAGTGAAAGACTGGATATTAGGAAACTGGATATTGGGACAGACTGAAGTGACAAATAACTATCACCCAAGGTTAGAGTGTCCCTTATAAGTGTTTTTAGTCCAAATGCAATTTATGGTATTTTAGTGTATTCAAAAGTAGTAGACTGCATATACTGCATTTGCATTGGTATGTGTTTTTCATTTAAACAGGTGAACACAAAGCTGCATAACATACTGTACAATCTTTGAATTAAGTTTATTTCGACCTAAATGCTGGGTCGTTTCTGAGCAAATTTGGGTCAAGTATGGACAAACCTAAACACTGTGTTAAATTTTGTAATTTTTTTAAATAAAATGTTTAATTCAGTAGTCTATTTTTGGACATAACTTCGGTTTGAACAACGCAAAGTTTTTTTGAGAGTGTATGTCATTTGGAGCGACTTGTTTTAAGTATAAAAATTAAATGTAATCAAGTATAGATCTACGTTCAAAATCAGGTCCAATAGACATTATTATTAACATATACAGTTAAAGTCAGAATTATTCGCCCCCCTTTGATTTTTTTTCTTCTTTATACATATTTAACAAATGATGTTTAACAGAGCAAGGACGTTTTTACAGTATGTCTGATAATATTTTTTCTTCTGAAGAAAAGCCTTAATTGTTTTATTTCGGCTAGAATAAAAGCAGTTTTAACATTTTTGAAAGACATTTTAAGGTCAAAATTATTAGCCCCTTTACACTAAAAATATTTTTCGATAGTCTACAGAACAAACCATGGTTATACAATAACTTGCCTAATTACCCTAATTAACCTAGAGTACAAATATTATGTACCGTCATCATGGTAAAGATAAAATAAATCAGTTATTAGAAATGAGTTATTAAAACTATGTTTAGAAATGTGTTGAAAAATTTCTCTGTTAAACAGAAATTGGGGGGGGGGGGGATAAACAAGGGATTTAATAATTCGGGGAAGCTAATAATTCTGACTTCAACTGTATATTGTTGGCTTGTTTTCCAGTAAAAAATAAATTTATAAAAAAATTTATAAAAAAACATGCTTTTAAATAAGGATCAAGACAAAAAAATGGGTCAAATATAAATTAATTAAAATTAATATGTATATATCAATATTTACATAATATATTTTGTTGCCCAGTCTGAAATTGTAATGAAACTCTGCTCTGTTGTTTCTCTTAGCAAATATTACCTTTAAATATATTGCCTATATTTGCCTTTCTTTTCTTTAAGCTTCATTCTTTAGTTGGTTTTCGCAGACACTATTGACAAACTGTTCAGCATCTCTACACTCATCACCTTTGGTGCTTCCAGCCTCTATACGCAAACTAATACTGCTGACCTTAAAAATAGAGAAAATCGATCTGAAGCAATGGAAGAATTACAGATCCCTTTGTGACTCAGTCTTTTGTCTTGTCCGAGTGCATATTTAAACATGGCTGACCGTAAAAAAAAAGTGATGCCTTTTTGTTTTTGAACAGTCTCTGCACTGGACCGGAAGTTTCCTGACCTCACCACTACTGATTGGACTTCTGATGTCGTCATAACCAGGAGAATGAAGGTGAGACGGTTTGCTAGACTTGTTTACGGACTGTCAGACGTTTGTACATTTATTTGGTGGTTACTCCGTGAACCAGTGGTTAACTCTCAAGCACCTCGGCTGATGCCAGAAGCATGAGTGTGCTGATAGTAATGTATTTCACTGGCTGAAAGGTGGGCTGTGTGAATTATTAATGCTTTCTAGCTCTACAAATAGAGCTTGCATTGATCAACAGTCTCTGGAGTAAACCGATATTGTTTAGGAATGCAATGTTTGCACTTTGTCTCCCCATATAGCCTTGCAAAGACTTGAAGTTCTTGCTTTTTTTGGTAAACATACAGTTTTTTTTTCCCATCAGCCCTCTATTTGTTCCTGGTTTGCCTCCCTTCTTTAGTGTCCATGTAGGGAAATTGAGAGGTTGTCATCATGTTGGCTAAACATGTAGCTTTTTAGGCCTTTTTCTTCTGAAATAAATGGCTACTGGGATCAGAATATAATGAGGGCTCGAGTCAGCTGAATGTGACAAAATTGTAATATTTTGTAAATAATGTTAATGTATGTACTTTTAGGTTTTTATGCATATTCGCTTGTTTAGTGTGACGTCACACAAATCGGTTTCCGGGTCCAATCGCTCTATCTACTTTCGAAAATCACTATATATATATATATATATATATATATATATATATATTCATGTCTAATATTCAATGGCCTGAAAGTGATTACTTTTTTAGTCATCAACTAATATTTTTCAATTCAAATGAGTAGCTGCTTGGACCCGGTAACAGTATTTTTTACGTCACAGATACGTCGTGACTTAACAAGCGGATATCTTATTAGAGTATTTTTAAGTATACAGTAATACAGTATTAGCCTAATTTATTCATAACTTAATTTTTTTTTGCAATAAATTTAATCTATTCAGCTCTTTTAATTCAAGTTTTAAAGATAAAATAATGTTACTTGAAAGGCTATATATGTATATGTGTGTGTGTGTGTGTGTGTGTGTGTGTGTGTAGTATATATATATACATACTTTAGCCCTTGTTACATATATTTTTACACAATCAGAGTTTCGGTATTACTTTAAATTTATAGCTGAAATCATAATCAGCTCAATTTTTTGGCTCAAATCAATTTGTTTTAATTGATAAACTGAATTTAAGTAAATAATAAATTTGTTAATAATAATAAATTCTATAAAATATGTTATATGGGTTTTAAAGAATAAGCCCTCTTAAAGGTAAAAAATGTCAAAGAAAAATGTATTTCTCAATAATATTTATTTGTTTGTTTGTTCATTTGTATACACGGTATAAATATTCCGGTTTACTTAATTATAGTTATCACCACTTGAATATACATATTACTTATATTGTTTTTTTTTTTGTTTTTTTTTATAATCCACTTACTTTGTGGTTTCCAATGACCTAACCTTTACCATGTTTAATGTTAAATAGTATAAACAGTGCTCAGGATAAATGAGTACACCCCATTTCGAAAATGAATATTTGTATCCATTTCTCAGTGATTATAGGTAAAATATATTGATGCATTTGAACAAAACAGATTCAATAAACATATATATTTATTAAAATAATATTTTAGTCAAAGAACATCTTTAGAAATGGAAAGATGCAAAATATTGCCAAAAGTATATATTTTTTGTTTCTCTTAATTTTTGCTATTTTTGAAAATTTGATTTAATCTTTTCCCTAACATATAAATTTGGGCTACTAATTTTTGAACCATTATTGTATGTTATTTTGTTTGAAAAGCTCCAGATTTGGCTTCAGTAGTGACTAAACTAATGTATATGCACAAATATATTATTGTAAAGCATCCTACAGAAAATATTAATTTAAATGAGAGATTTGTGGGTTACTATAAAAATATCACTTTTATAGCACTAACAATGAAGTTCAAGCAACTTAAAATCACGAATCAGATCTTGCTTGCACAGTAACAGATTAATTAGCTGAATAATAGAACAAACGTGAAAAAAGTTTTGCTCAGTGACATTTAGAAGCACTTTCCCTTTAAGATGATTAAGTCTGAGGAATGAAACGAGTGCTGTGCTATAGACAGAGTGACACAACCGTAGGAGAAAACAACAGTGCAGACGCTGGTCAAAACAAAGTGCTTCTTTTACAGGAACATATCCAGATGTCCTGCGGACGATGAGAGACAATGCGTCAGCAGTAAGGTGAGTGTCTGATCCTGGTTATTCAATATTTTTAACTTTCCTTGTTTCTATACGTCAGTCTTTCTTAAATTCATTCTGGTATGAACGGTAGCTGCATTCTGAGCGCTTGGACATAATGAGATTTATCTATGACATATGATGGCAAAAATGCTGAAAATGCGGACTTATTTTTAGAAATGCTAAAGAAGGACATTTAAAGGGCCAGTTCACCCAAAAAAATTGTCATAATGCACATTTTTTCTTTTGTCATTTTATGTAGAATGCGACTGATTATTTTAAAAAATATGTTTTTGTCTATATATTGAACGTTTTTTTTTTATTATTATTTGCCAAAATACTTACTCTTGTGGAGAAAGAAATACTTACAGTTAGGGAATGAGGAAATATTGACAAACAGAAGATATTTTGAGAAATGTTTCAATCTAAAGGAAACTAACAGCAGTAAGCCGTAAAATGAGTGACCATTGACTTCTTTTTGTAGACACAAACACTGGGGCTTTTCTAAAAATATCTTCTGTTAATTCATTATTCGTTAATTTAAAAAAATGTATGAATTTCACCTTTAAAAATCTAAACAAAACAATTTATTGTGAGAAATGTTGAAAAAAAAAAAACTAAAAACATTGTCAAAATATCTTTTTTTATGTCACTATTTACTTTTTTAAACCTGTATGCGTTCCTGTACGCAAATCAACAAAGAATTTTTATTATTATTTGCCAAAATACTTACTCTTGTGGAGAAAGAAATACTTACAGTTAGGGAATGAGGAAATACTGACAAACAGAAGATATTTTGAGAAATGTTTCAATCTAAAGGAAACTAAATGGTCACCAAAAGTTACCAACTTTTCTCTAAATTCTCTTTTCTCTTACAGGTCAAGAATTAATGTTTTATTTATGCAAATAAAAACATAAATGGAGATATTTTTAAATATGTCAAAGTATTTTTTTTCTTAACTGTTTGTTTAACACTACACTTTAGAAATATACTTTTTTTTTTTTATTAAAATTTGGAACAAATAAATAATGACAAAGCAAAATATATGTTGAGAAATATTTGTTGTCCATATGAATGAAAGCCATCGGCCATCAAAACAGCTTTGGTTATCAACATTCTTCAAAATATCTTCTTTGTTGATTTGCGTACAGGAACGCATACAGGTTTAAAAAAGTAAATAGTGACATAAAAAAAGATATTTTGACAATGTTTTTAGTTTTTTTTTTTCAACATTTCTCACAATAAATTGTTTTGTTTAGATTTTTGAAGGTGAAATTCATACATTTTTTTAAATTAACGAATAATAAATTAACAGAAGATATTTTTAGAAAAGCCCCAGTGTTTGTGTCTACAAAAAGAAGTCAATGGTCACTCATTTTACGGCTTACTGCTGTTAAAAAACTGACCCTCTAAACTGTGGCTGTAGCTCAATAAGTACCGCGAGTACGGTCCTGTCAATGGTAGGCTAACCAAACAAGCATTGTTAAACAAAAAATAAAATTCAAATGGTATCCGTTATTAACATGCTGTAAGAGAAGTCAGGATAGGCAGAATCATGCTGCATGAAGGATTCACAACTAAACCGCAGTTTGGGCCACGCACTCGCACAATCTTGCCCATATAACCAAGACAACACGCAACCTAATCAAATAGCCTACATTAACAGTTATCAAAAGCTCTGTTAAAAGGAGAAATTAATAATTGGCGCAGGCTTTCCTCTGACAATAGACTAAAACTGAGGCCAAAAAAAGCATGCTAACCTTCTGTAATTGATTGGGACCAAATGGGAAATTAGAAGCATGGCTTTTAAAGATATTTCTGCTAAGCTAAAGTTTGAAGTAAAAACGTTTAGGTCTATAAGATAACCCTATTTAAAGCACTCTTTTTGGAAGTATTGCAAATGAAATGTGTTTTTTGTTTGTTTCCATGTTTTTTCTAATTTTGGCAGCCTGATTAAAATTTGAAGTTCATGTTATGTGATTAATTTTGTATTTTGTAATCATGTTTTAGTAAAATAGGCCTATTAAATTTAGGCTTATAAAAATCAATATTAAATAAAATAGTGGAAAATTAGAAAATAATATTAATTTTTAAATTAATAAAAATAAAAATAGCAAAAAGGCAAAAAGGCTTTTGTGAGGAGACAAAATAAATGAGGCCCTTTGGTTTGCTAAATCCCCAGGACCCAATATGTCCTTAATCCATCCCTGCATATAGGATTAATAATGTAAAATAGGATCATGCACAATAAACATTAAATATCTTAATAACCACCAGGAAACAGGGTGCTAGTTTTTAGACAGATTATACTTAAAGTGTTACCAAACATTCCTCTTGTCTTTAAAAAGCTAATCTATTAAAAAAGTGAGCAGCAAACACATTAATTTGCTCTGTCAGTTAATGCAGCACCTGCGTATCTTGCTTGCTGAAATGTGTCAGCGCGTACAGACACACGCCAGTGCCAGCTGGCAGGTGTGTGTGTGTGTACAGTATGTGCGCGCGTGTGTTTTTCCCCTGCTTCCTGAAAGCCTGTATTAGAGATTACATCAGGCCCAAAGCAGCCAGGAATTCCTGCCATCATGTGGCTTCAGCGAGCCGTCGGCCTCACGAGACAGACACACGGACACAACACTGCAATTTAGCAACTGCAGCAGAAACCAGATCACGAGTGGTTGAGTGTGTCTGTGTGTGCGTGTGTGCCTGAATGCTTTTACTAGGCACTGCATGTGCTATAATGATTTTATACTTCTGTGCCGATTCAGATGGCACATATGCAGCGTTCCTCTATTTCTAAAGAGTGTCGGACAGCTGTGTGCTCATCCATGGCTGCGTGTTTATGTTTGTCTTTCCAAAGAGCCGATCAGATTTCCTCAAACCACGTTCAGATGAGGTCTAATGATACTTTTTGGCTGTCAGAATTCAAAAGCCTTTAATCTGATAATGTGTTCCAGTGTTTTGTGGATGTCATTTAGCATGACACTGATATGTTAGAGACGTGATGTGTGCATCTGAGAAGCCAGCCGAGCAGGACGGACTAGTTGTTAAGCTCTCAGACGAACAGAAATTATGACGTACCATCTGAGGCTTTAAATTTTGTCAGTTCAGTCGGATAAATAAA